AAACATTTCTATTATTATACTTGCGCAACGATTACCGCGCTGACTTCTACTTCTCCTTGTATTAGTCTTTATATTTTAAATATCAAGGAATTCTTCGACATTAATTATTATTCTTATTATTATAATATATATAATGATATAATTATAATAAATATAATTACAATTATAATTACATTTACGATCATTGTTATAATTATAATTATATACTTTCTAAAGTCATATGAGTATCAATCTCAGTCACTGTATCAATCTGAAGGCTCATAGTATGACTTCAGAAGGTAAATGTTTAAAAATGTAAAAAAATATATTTTTTCCTGTTCTTCACGTCGTTGATCTTGAGTAACACTAAGCGCAGAAAAATATGATAACTATGATAGTGTATTCACAGTAATACACTAAAAGAAAGAAATGACTGAATATGGCATAGCATTTTTAATTGGTTGCAGCAGCTAATTAAAAATGCTATGCCATATTTTACCATCTAATTTGCTGCAGCAGCTAATCATTTCTTTCAGTGTAGCACTTCAATTTTTCCCTAATGAAAATAAAAATCGGAGCGTAAATTGGATGTAATGGGAGAGTAACAGAAGCATAAAACGAAACTTTTAGGAGGCGAAAATTGAAACATCGGAAGCATAAATGCTTCTTTTACATTTCATTGTTCCAATTTTCGCCTTCTAGAAGTTTTATTTACGCTTCTGTTACTTTCCCATTACATTCGACTTACGCTCTGATTTTTATTTTCATCAGAATTATTATTTTTGTGCATTCAATATATCATTTTAATTAATCGATTGAATTCTTATGAGAGATTGACAAAAGCGAATAAATTGAAAAGCATTATTGCAGTCATATGCACACACACGTACACATACAGCCACACATACGCACATAAGTACGCACGCACGGGATCAGATACCTGTCACGTGCACGTCATTGATCCTGCTGAGAGCATAAATATAATATATACGATTTCATTTTTACTTTCCAGAGTTATACTATGAGCCTTCAGATTGATAGTGTGAACTTTAGAAAAATATATAATTATAATGTTTTTATCAAAATTGAAAAAAATCGAGTTAAGAACCAGCGAAACGCCAATTAAGAATTCCTGTATCTGTATCTCTTTAACTTTTATATGTAGAATCATTAAAGGAATCATACATATTGATATTATGTAAAAAAAATGTGTACTTAACTAAATTTTTAGGTACTTCAACAAAATCATTTTCTTCTTATATCAAAAGACTAAATCGAGACGTTATATTTAACGTCATAATAGCAAAAAAAATTCAGTGGGGATAAGTAAAATTTTGGAGATTGTGAATGTGTGTTGATACGCGTCGCTCGGACGACTATCAATACTTTACAATCTCCAAAATTTGACCTACATTGAATTTTTTTGCGTAGATAATCTTGCGTTTCGATTCCGGAACTAAAATTGGACAGACCTGTTTTAAATTTAATTAAATAACTGTAATTGTGCATCACTTACCGCGCTGTATTCTTATTGCTAATCACACATTACATTTATATGAAAATTATATAATTATTTTAGATTAATTTGCACTATCTGTTTAAATAAATTTTCCTGCAGAATATTTAAATTGAATAGAAAATGTCGATTATTTTGATTTAATTTAACGTGTAATTACTATAAATGTTATAAACATTTACTAAAATGTTATGTTAGAGAAGTACAAAATTCCTTTAAATGATAATTTAAGAATGAATTCATCAATAATAGATACATATTTTGTAAAGAAGCCGTTATATTCTGCTTCGAAAAAAATCTCTCTAAAAGCGCACTTTCATCAATTAAAAAACTTCGTTCGTATCTCTAACATATCCAATTTTTATGCTGTATTCCTTTCAGGAATGATGTCAGCCTATATTTCATGAAATTGAATATTCTAATTTTAAAACTTTGCATATACAAAGAGAAGTCAATATATAAATGTAGAGATTATAAAAAATTTTAGAGTTAAAAACAGTGTTTTAAATATGAAATTACTTTTTAATATGTAAAGCTTTTTACACATTTCTTTTAATACATTTCAAAAACTTTTTGAGATATTATTATAAAAAGTGTTTTATGATAAAAATACTTTTATTTAATGCCAATCACATTTTGAAAAAACAATGATTTTGAGAAGTTTTCACTCTTTTTTTGCGCTTTTTACTTAAAAAAATCCAGCGAAATATGTAAAAGTTACAATTATAGTCGAGCGCGTCGAGGACACCGATAGAAGGACGTATGTCTAAAAGGATCTTTAATTCAAAGTCCCGCAGATGTTTAGAAAAAAGATGTTTCTTGTTTTTATTACATTTATCGAATTTTCTAGCTATATAACTCGAATGATCAATTTGGTAAAAGTTATGGACCTTCTACAATAAGTCATTAGTCATAAATCAGAAGTCAGAAAAATGGACGACTGTGATTGGTCAATTTTTAATTTTTTTGGACTTTATTGTTTGGAAGTTTAATGTTTTCGTAATATAAACTGAATGTAAAACTTTAACGTGTTTTTCTCGAAACATATAGTTTTCAAAATGCGTAACTAATATTTTGAAGATGGCTTGACTGATCAATTTGTAATTTTACACACTTTTTCATTAAAAAGTTTGATGTAGATTTTTTGTGATGTTTTGTTTTTTTTTGCAGCCAAATCAACAAAGTTTATATAACTTTATATAAATTTTATATAAATTTATATAAAGTTTATATAAATAATAAAAATCTAATATTTAAATTTGACTGTATTTAAACGCAATATTTCAAAAAACGGCTACGTCAATTACTACGTCAATTACATGTTAATTAAATTTATGTTACAACTTTTAAAACTTATGTCATTTATATATTTGTAAAGCTTTCAAATAAATTTTGTAGAAACAATAGTAGTCACCGCAAACTATGATATTTTTAAAACAAGCTTTAAAAAAATATTAATAATATCGTCATTTTTAATTATTTTTAAATGAAATTTAAATAACAAAAAGAGTAAAATACACTCTTTACAATAAAATAAATCCGATTTCTTTATCTCTTTCCGTTTTTCTACGGAAAGTTCACAAAGTTAGCCAAAAGACTTTATTTTAACTCTCTATAGGTCAAATTATAAAAAAAAAAAACTATAAAAACTTAAAACGACTATAAAAAAATTTATGTAATATGAACTCAAAAAATGTCAACAAATATAAATTAACATTGAATTTAGCAAATAATTTGCAAAATCATTTACTTTGATATCTCAGATTAAAATTAGACCGCTATCGAGAATAATATTTATTAAGAAAATATATAACAAGATGTATACGTCTTTTTGTGACAAAAATTTAATGAAATATCGATATATTAGTACGTGAAAATTACACGGATTCATATAGAAGGTTAACACAACTAGGTACATATGCTCTCTTAAGAAATATTAGAAGAAGGAAAGCTACATTAAAATAGTGATAACGATATATTATAATTATCATTATAGAAAACAATATAGATTGTATAGTAGGCTGACATAGTTTAAAATGTTATATTTTTATCAAATTTATAGTATGATAATATCGTTTAAAATAATTTTTCGTAGACTCTTTACAAAATCGAAAGGTATAAAATAAACAAATATTTATCTATTAAAAGTATAGATAATGCACGATAGCGGATAATAATTGTAGTTTACGCAGAAAGAAAAGATTGGCTGAATATAGCATTTTTAATTGATTGCATCAGTCAATTTTTGATTGCGTTAGCTAATCAAAATCATATATATTGACATAGGCTGACGCAACTAAAAATTGGCGGAGCATAGCTATATCAATAGTATTATTCTATTCTATTGTTATCGTTCATTAGATAAATAAATACGAGGAATGATGCAATAAAGCTGTACTTTTTAAATGCAATCTATCACTATAGTGATAGATTATTTTGAAGCTTCGTGCCGCGTAAAAAGATTCTACACGAGAAGTAAAGCGGGACTTTCCCTTTCCAGTCTATGCCAAACGAGGCGTGCAATTGACTCTCACCAACTAGACGCATCGTACATTCTCATGAAGCAAAGTCAGTTTTGTCGACCATCTGCCACTGATCAATTTGAAATAGTGACGCGGGCTTTTTCGGTGACAAATATAATTTGCGCGAGCGTCGTTAGTGCGGTGAACGCAAATGCAATCGTCTTTTCTTCAAGGAATTGAAAGTGACGAAAATGTCATGAAATTAGGCACAATTTGCGAGTGCATCCGGGCGACTGTTACAGCTGATCAGGAAGATCTTTCGTTTCTCAATGTGAAAGCGACGTGATATCACGCGTCACTCTTACTTTCCGCATTCGAAAATAGATTTGGACACGCATTATATAACGCAAAATAAATAATGTTGTATTTGCACGTCGCGATTATAACGAGTATGTTAAAATAAATGATTAGAAAGACACTATTGCAGTCTTAATAATCTTTCCTATTTTACTTTTCCTCATGCAGCACGTCACGGAATTTTTACATGTAACTTTCAAGACTTTGATAAACTGAACTTGCGTGACAAGTGACTTTCATCATGTAATTTAAAATATATAAATCACGATAATTAAAAATAAAAATTTTTGTAATTAAAGATATTAGAACTGATTAGAGATGATTGTTCAGAAAGTTAAGAGAAAGAGGAAATAGAAGGAGGAAATAGAAAAAAAAAAGAGGTAATTAACGAAAGGAAAATCCAACATTCTCTTTTTGGAAAAATGGGGAGTATATTCCGTTGCAAGACTTGCTCAATAGAAAAGTATTGCTAATGTTCTGACTTGGAAAAGAAAAAGTAAGATATGGAAACGTGGAAGGGGCTCCTTTCTCCAGAAGATAACCACCTGCAAATCAGAATATAGTCAGTGTAGTTGAAACTTTCGCAGTATATACATCTTACGCAGAACCACGCTAAAAATCATTTTGACTAGTTTTGTATCAGTGTTGTTATTTCTTTCGAATCAAATTGCTTGCCTTTATACATACAATCGTTATTTATTTATAACACAGTGCTCTGATGTGGACATAAAATAATCAAAATGATTAACGATTTTTCGGATAATACTGCTCTGACAGGTCAGTTATTTTGCACAAAAGAGATAGTTTTCTTTTAATTTCAATTGCAATATAAATTAGTTAATTAGATCTATTAATTTAAATTCATTTTTTTATTGTTCTACGTGAGTTGTTTGATAAGTTTGGTAAATTTCCATGAAATGGCGCTACAATCCATTTGATGACGCGACATCTCGAAAGATCCACTCTTCGAACCCCTTCAGGCCAAATTTCAGCCGGAAAGAACGCATAGTTCACGTTTAGTAGTCATTTGAAGAGAGATTGGCACGTAAAAAAGTGCTCTTCCATCAAGACAACGCGCCGTCCCACAAGTCGATCGTTGCAATGACAAAACTACGAATTGAGTTATGAATTGATTCCTCATCCATCCTATTCTCCGGATTTGGCCCCGTGTGACTTCTTTCTGTTCCCAAACTTAAAAACTTGGCTCGGTGGGAAGAAATTCTCATCAAATGAGGAAGTCATTGTAGTCGTCAATGAGTATTTTGCAGACTTTGAGACAGCCTACTTCAAATGACTATCAAACGTGAACTATGCATCCTTTCTGGCTAAAATTTGGCTTGAAGGGGGGGGGGGGGAAGAGTGGATCTTTCGAGATATCGCGTCATCAAATGAATTGTAGCGCCATTTCATGGAAATTTACCAAACTTATCAAACGACCCATGTAATTTAGATATTATTATATGTATAAATGAATTTAGTTTTAAATAAATCTTTTTCTATTGTGCAGTGTATCTTAATATTAAATTAAATTAAATCTTAACATTAATAAGTTCACTGATAAACCTAAAATTAATGGTTTATATTTATTAAAAAAAAACTGGGTAAAAACGAAAAATTTCATATTCTACATGGAAGTTTCTATAAGAGCTTATTCCAATCATTGATGATAAATTAATCCTAAATCAAAATTTCAAAATTCAAAATATATAGTGAATCCAATAGCCGCCAAAAAACATACAGTTGTGACATTTTATTTTCCCTCATATATAAATCATTACCAGTAAACTGATTAACTAAATTTAAAGAAAAAAGTTGCAACGATTTCTAAAATCAAAAATTTTTAATCAAATAATATTGACAGCATATGACTCTCATAGTCTTATCTGAACTATTATTTATATTTTATTACTTATAATTATATTATTAGTTAAAAAAATAACTTATCATACAAATTTGTACTTAAAGTATAATACTAAAAATAATATTATGTTTTTTCAACACTATAAGAAATTCTGAAATGATGAATATTTAATTTATATATATAAGACAGACAGTAGAAAATTGTAAAAAATGCAAAATATATATAAATAAATATAATTAAATATGTTTAAATTAAAGACCGATGTACACATATAAAAATAGTAAAATGTGCAGTATGTAATATATTGTGTATATACTGTCAAATAACATACTTCTTCAAGGATACGCTCAGTGAACCATACGAGAATTTCACAATGCTTACAAATCATATTTACAGTGTCTGTAGGACTTTCATATATTCAGATAAACATTATATAACTATTTCGAAATATATTAAGTAATGCGACATTATTATCTTTATATATTAAAGTTTCTTATCTATAATAATTAGATTCTCAAAATGTTAATGAAATTTTGAAAGCTATTTTTTTATTTGAACGGTGTTAATAATTTGTATTATTAACTGCAAAGAAATAATAAGAAGAATAATATAATTTTTTACGATTTGTGTGATTAGAAGTTAATTAAATAACATAATCGGAAGATTTCAAAAAATACACACCTTTAATGTAATTATTTATAGAATTTTCCAAATATAATAATTTTGTTGAACCAGAGATAAGAATCGTTTTATATAAAAATAAAATATCAAAAAACATCTCATAAAAAAGATGAGATATAAGTGATAATCAATATTAAGAATTTCTATTTTAGATCGCATATGTGAGAAACACAATCAACACTAAAGAAATTTAAAATGCCTTATGATCGAAGCTGAATCTTAATTGCTTTAAATAATTTAATCTTGAATTACTAATATACACTATATATGTACTTGCATATGTACCATATTATAGTCTTTTTATTATGATATATATTGGGTTGTCTGGAAAGTTCGTGCCGATTTTGAAGGAAAATTGAAACGCAGAAGATTTAAATTTTAGTATACATTTATTAAATTATATAGGTGCCATTCTGTTTTACAACCTTTCTCCATCTTTCAGGCAATTTGAAAATTCCGTCCTTTCAGAATCTCTCAGATTTTTCAGCAAAAAACTTTTTTAAGTGATTTTTTACTTCAACCAAAGAGTTGAAGCTTTTTCCATTAAGGGAATTTTGTAATGAACGAAATAGGTGGAAATCAGAGGACGCGAGGTCTGGTGAATATGGTGGATAGGGTAGTAGAATATCCCAATCGAGCTCTAACAATTTTTGTCGCGTTATCAAAGACACATGAGACCGCGCATTGTCCTGATGAAACACGACGCTCTTCCGATTCGCTATTTCTGGACGTTTTTGTTCAATTGCTGTCTTCAATTTGTCTAATTGGGAATAATACTTCTCTGAATTTATCATCTCGTTATTTGGTAAAAACTCAGAATCCTTAATACAGGATCCCTTTTCAATCCCACTAGACACAAAGCATGACCTTCTTTGGATGAAGACCGGCTTTTGGGATGGCTAGGTGATTCATTCCGCTTTCCCCAAGATCTTTTTCGCTCAACATTATTGTAAACGATCCATTTTTCATTCCCCGTCACTACTTGCTTCAAAAATGGTGTCTTCTCGTTGCGTTTATAGAGCGAATCGCAAATGGAAATGCGATCCATCAAATTTTTCTCCGTTAAATCGTGAGGAACCCATACATCAAAATGGTTTATGTAGCCAAGCTTCACAAAATGCTCGTGGATGGTGGATTTTGACATATTCAACATTTCTGCTAATTTACGTGTCGTATAGCGTGGATTATTCTCGATCAGTATTTTAATCTGATCTTCATCTGCGGTAAAGGACCTACCCAGGCGTTCTTGATCTTCAAGATTGAAATAACCAGTTTTAAACTTAGCAAAGTACATTCTGCACATTTCTTTCAGCTGCAGCACCTTCGCCATAAAGCATATATCTTGTTTGCCGCTTGTGTAGTATTTTTGCCTTTTCGATAAAAGAAAAGCATTAAATGCTTAAAATGCACTTTATTTTCTTCCATATTCAAAGGCGTATAAAACTGACAAAAATTAATGTATCGCAACCAAATTTTTATGTCTGAAATACCATCTTTTACGATATGTACGCATGTCATTTGTTTTCAATCGTTTTGATATATTCAAACCTGTCCTTACGCCACCTACCAAAAATTGAACTTTCCGGACAATCCAATATGCAAGTACACATTAGTAATCCAGTTTCGATCGTAATAGGCATTTAAAATTTCTTTAAAATAAGCGATAATATTATTTACAAGCCTGAATTCTTTTACAATTAATATAAACTAAGAAGTAATAATAGTAATAACAAAACATGTGCAAATACAGAAATTATAAGTAAATATCGTATAAAAAGATTATAGATACAATTATTGTAAATAATAATGTTAATCGTAAAAATATAATAATAAAATATGTGCAAATACAAAACTTCACATAAATGTAGAAAGTAATAATATTAAATTTAATTATACAAATTATATAAAAGAAATTATATAATAATAATAAAAATATGTTGATAATAAAACAGAGATAGTGAAAAAAAGAGCTTAAATTTCCTTTTTTATTATTATTACTAATAAAAAAAGAAATGAAATCTAATAGATAAATCTAAAGAAAATGTGAAGAGAATGTTGTGACCTCGACTTACATTGGCCACTACTTGTTGCTGCAGTATCTACCATAGAATTGCATTAATATAAGAAATGATCGGTTAAACAACTTTTTATCATCAAATTTTCATTTCTTTAAATTTCATAATGATATCTATTAATTTGTCTAATTAGTCTATAAAAGTCTGCATAATACTTTTTAAATAAAACTTATTATTTGAGATCAGAAGAAATTAGTTGAAAGTTACAGAGTACCTTTAATGAATATT